AAAATTATCTGCACAAACAAGACGTTGGACAAGACACTGCGGGAAATACACTTATCACACTCTTACACCCCTCTTACAACATTTTCTGTTTTTTACTTCAACCTGCGTACCATATTTTATTCAGCGAAACCCACTTCCGGATGCTGACCAAGAGCTCCCTATCGTTTCCATGTACGCTGGGCATGTACTGATAAAGGTCATTTATGAACGGTGCATTTCATTTTGTAAATAGTCATCTACAGCAAATAACACACCATATAACCACATGATTATACTTAGAGGGGTCACAATGAATACATTATTTTTTCAATAACCTATATTTCCTATTCTCTGTAGTAGAAAATGATCGTGTACACGTACCTCACATATTTCAGAAAATGTGATGTAAAACAAGAGCTAACAATTTCACAGCGGTTATTTGGTAAATAATTTGTTGTATGCACACGACTACAGCTGTTTCTGATTCAATTCAGCATTACATTACATACACTCCTTCAGGTCTATGATAACATTTGTTTTGTTTTGTTTTGAGCTCATGCTGCAAACACTTATATGGCCCCCGTCGGTCAATATTGACCATGCTAAAATCCTAATTGACATCAGCCCTACAGCGTCGACTGTGGCTAAACATTCCAATACGAGAATGACAGTCCTTGCCACATAGGTCACATCTGTAAACTGGCACAGGTCTGTTGCAGAGTTCATTTCGCAAGATCCGCTTTTCTTCTGCATTGCGCATCAGTCTTGTTTCTTCTGATTTTAGTTGCCTGGAGAGTGAACATCTCCAGTTGGATCTGTCGTTTGCAAGGTCCTCTCAGTGTTCTGTGTCAATATCAAGAGCCCTTAAGTCCCTCTTGCAAACATCTTTGAAACGCAGCTGTGGCCGTCCGGTGTTTCTGTTTCCTACGTCCAGTTCTCCGTAGAGTAGGTTTTTAGAGATTCGGCCATCCTCCATGCGATGTACGTGTCCTAACAAGCGTAGTCTGCGTTGTCTGAGAAAGGTGATCATGGTTGGGAGGCCAGCACGAGACAGCACTTCAACATTGGTAACTTTGTCCTTCCATGATATCCCCAGCATGCGACAAATACACCTCATGTGAAAGGAATTGAGTCTGCTCTCCTGCTTGGCATAGGTGGACCAAGTTTCTCTTCCATAGAGAAGTGTGCTGAGGACGACAGCATTGTACACGGACATCTTAATCTTGACAGAGAGTTTGGGGTTCTCCCAGACTCGTGCAGTGAGACGGGCAAGTGTAGTTGCAGCCTTTCCAATCCTCCTGTCAATCTCCTTGTCCACGGAGAGATTGTTACTTGTGGTGGACCCGATGTATGTGAAATGATTCACGACCTTCAGTTCATAGTCACCGATGGTGTTGGCTGGAGGTGCCTCTAAACACAGGCCCAACACTTCTGTCTTCTTCAGGCTGATGATCACACCAAAGTCCTGGCATGCCTGGGAGAAGCGATTCATCAGAGACTGGATCTCCTGATCTGTATGCGTTGCAAGTCTGGCGTCGTCAGCGAACAGTAGGTCTCTGATCAGAGCTTCACATACCTTTGTTTTGGCCCTAAGGCGGCTGAGGTTGAACAGCTTGTTATCTGATCTTATGCGTAGGCAGAGGCCCTCTCTGCTAACCGTGTCAAATGCCTTGGTGAGATCGATGACAGCAAAGAACAGGGGTATGTTCTGTTCTCTGCACTTCTCTTGCAGCTGATGGAGAGAAAAGATCATGTCTATTGTCGATCTGTTGGCACGGTATCCACACTGCGACTCAGAATAGACACGTTCAGCATGTTCTTGTAGGCGGGTTAGAATTACTTTAGTGTAGACCTTGCCGACCACGCTGAGCAGGGAGATACCCCGATAGTTGTTGCAGTCACTTCACTCTCTCTCTTGTTTTTGTAGAGGGTGACAACCTTGGCATCTCGCATGTCCTGTGCGACCGCACCTTCCTTGCAGCACTGGCAGTGGGAGCAGTTGAAAGGTCTTGCAGTGTTTTAGTAGGTCGGGCGGGATTCCATTGCTGCCTGGTGATTTACCTGTGGTCAGACTGTTGATGGCTTTGTTGAGCTCCTCCAAGGATGGCTCATCGTCGAGTTCATCCATCATTGTCAGACATTCAATGGCATCGAGGGCTGAGGGGGGCACAGTGTTTTGCCTGGAGTGGAGATCGGAGTAGTGTTCCACCCATCTCTCCATCTGTTGCTTCACTGTTTTTGTAAAAAAAATATTCTATATTAAAAAAAAATACATTTTGCACTGCTTTTTGAGTAACTTGTTGTTTAATGTGATTAATACCTACAACATGTCCATGAACATATCGCTTCGCCTATATGTGTATGACATTTTTGAGTTTTTGGTGGAAAGTTAGTTGATGAAAGTGTGGGGGGGGGGTTCTCAGATCAGATGTTGAGTAGTTATTGACTTCTTTGTTTATGGTATTATATTATAATGTGGGCATTGTCTCAAAGTTGTTTGGCAAACAAACACATAGTTCACAGATTTGATTGCTTGATCAGCTTGCAATTTATCAAACAGTTGAAAAATCCTTTTTTTTTACAGTCAAATTTGAAACATTTTGTAAGGAAATGCTAAAATCATGGGCACCGAGTCTAACGAACACGGTATTCATTGAAACATTGAACACATTTTTGCAGATTTTAAAATGTTATGAATTCATCTTATGAAAACACAATTAAAGAAAAGACAAATCACGATAACTATTTCATATTTTTTTTAAACAAAAACATCATAAGGATCATCAAGACAAAACTGATTTAATAAGCTGTCCCCTTTGACCCTAATACTAATTGATTTTCAATTATATTGTAGGATGAAGTGCACTCTGATTACAAAGAGTTAGACAACAATGGACTTACCTGGAAGTGTGATGTTGGGTGAGTATCATTAAAGATGTACAGATGTATATTGAATTATGTACATAAACTGTGAATACTTGTACTTCACTTCAAGTTCAATTATATAAAATACTACCCTGCTATATTGAAGATGTTACTTAACTATTAAAGATCTTCCAATCTGCTACCTTAAACAGGATATGAAAATCATTAAATTGAATAAGTGATTTATGGTGATAACAACCTATTGTCAAAATAGACATAACAATGTGGCTATTTTGAGAAATGTGTCAAAACATAACCCAAGTCATCTTTTAACATTTTATAAAAATATGATGTTTTTTATTTGACATGGTACAGGGCAGTGTATTTAGCCACAGCAAACCTGCCATTTACTTACTCGTTTGAACATTTGTATGTATTATTTATATGGTAATAATTATTTAAAACAACAACTATTATATTTGTCTTTCAGCTTCAGAGCAGACTGTAATGAAGCGATTATTAAGAGAATTGTATCCGATGTAATGAACATATAGCCAGGTGCACCAGAAGCTACTGTCACTGGTAACTTGATATTTTTTTTTCTGTACATGGAAATAAACTCACACACTTAAGGTATATACTATACACCTAAGGCTAGACCATAAATAATTTTGTTTGTGTATCAGTAATATTAAAAGTGGAGATATGAGGAACAAAAAACAGTATCCATGCAGCACAAGTGTTTTATTTTCATATGCACCTATAGTCCCCATGATTGGTACTGAAAGGCATTATGTACACATCCATGTCAACGTATATGAATATAATTTTAGGTGGAATTAATTTTCGCTGCAAAGAATTGTTGGGCGTTTTGTATGGAAATTATTTTCACTGATTATTGACGAGTTGAATGTAAAATGTAGGAAAAATGGTATCGCTGAATTTTAGTTTAACTGAATTATTCTTTCAGGGAAAAAAAGCGAAAATTAATTGCAAGAAAAATTAAAGATTTTACAGTAATTGTTTTTTCCTTTACATTCATTTTAGATGCAAAAAGAAATTATTTTCAAACTAAAAAAAGGCGCACACAGAACCAAGACAAAAGTCATCACGCAATGAGGCTTTGAATATTGCTAATGAACACAGTTGTAATGGCAAAAGATGATAGCTGAGATGGTTGTTCTGTGTAAATGAAAGCCAATCATATGCCTGCTTCACATTTGGATTCATTGGTTGTTATGGTTTGGTTATTTTGGTTATTTACCTCTGTGAATATATGGATTGCACCTCGTGTGGTGTACATGTGCTTTCTTGTAACTTTTCTAGTTCAATTCGAAATAGGAAGTGACCACTCAGTTTTGATTCAGAGCACACACAAACTAGTTACAGTTTTGTCGAACAAAAACTTCATTGTTCATTTTAAAAGTACCTGTAAGTTTGGAAACTCATCTCTGGTTCATAGCTCTATTATTTCAGACATTTTATATATGTTCTTACATACAGAAATTATATAAAAGAAACACAATGATTCAGCAGTACTAATCCATAACAGAGGATGACAGAACGCATTTTCACAAGTTATGACTGTTGATTGTATGAGCAGTGAAATACCGCATCTGGTGGCGAGGAAAATGAAGGAGGAGAAGAAGAAGACGAACAAAAGATTGTAACAGTCAACAAAGTACTACGACGTTCGAAAAAAAAGTGACTGGACTATTTTCAACTTTAGATGCAAGAAAATTAAGAAATAATAAAAAAAAGGTATTTTTAACATATTCGTGAAAAGGAGCAAATTCTGCAAGGAACTGCCCAGAAAATGCTCCAGTTCGGGCTGTAGTCCGATTTGGGTGTGCGGGATGTGAAACTGGGGTGGAGAT